AGTGAGGCGCCCACGTAACGAAAAAAAAAAAAAAAAAAAAAAGGTTAACAGGACAGAACAGTGAGCCTTTGCCTTTATATAGCACTTCTACCTCTCCAGTGCTTTCACGTAGGTTATCTCATTTCTTAATCAAGAACTTGCTCTGTCATAGGTAGGTGCAGATATTACTAGGTTCATTCTGCAAACGTGCTTAAGGTCAACACAGCTTTTCAGTAGATAGGTGTAGAAAAAAACACAATAATGACACTGAACAGTAACACCAAACAATTTACTATTGTAATGGGATCATACACACTTTACCCTACAAAGCCAAAACATTTTCACTCCACATTCTGGCAGAGCAATACCATTACTATTATAGAAAATGTGGCATGACATATTCTAATTTCATCTATATTATTTATAGGTGCTTTAAGTAATATGTTAAGTATTTCTTCTAAGAAAAAATTGAGCATATGATATTTTTGCTTAGGCTTTTTAAAACACTGTGTAACTATACCTCATGAGCCATATTTAATTTCTGATTTTGTAAGAGGGATGCTCTGAATACACCCAGCATTTAGCCCATTTAGAGCTCTGATTTAGCATTTCATGTGGTTTTACTGGCTTCTGTGTCATGGTAGGGGCTAAAATAAACCTCAGGGTGACAGAGAGTAACCTGATGGGTGGAGAGGGTTTGCTCCTCACTACCAGTAACATTCCAAGAATCACAAATAGATGAGACAACTGGAAGGCATTGAAGCATGAGAGACCCCTGCGTGTCAGCCAAGGAGAAAGTAAAAAGCAAGCAAGTCAGGACGTCTGGAAATCAGTCACGTAATGCAATCATATTAAACTATTCCTGGTTACTGTTTTCAATTTTAAGTAACAATGACTTGGTCTTTCTAAGTATCATTTTCTATTTTTTAAAAAATTAATTAATTAATTAATTTTGGGGGGCTGTGCTGGGTCTTCGCTGCTGTGTGAGGGCTTTCTCTAGTTGCGGCGAGCAGGGTCTATTCTTCGTTGTGGTGCATGGGCTTCTCATTGCGGTGTCTTCTCTCATTGTGGAGCACAGGCTCTAGGCATGTGGGCTTCAGCAGTTGCAGCATGCGGGCTCAGTAGTTGCGGCACGTGGGCTCCGTAGCTGTGGCACGTGGGCTTTGTTGCTCCACGGCATGTGGAATCTTCCCAGACCAGGGATCGAACCCGTGCCCCCTGCATTGCCAGGTGGATTCTTAACCACTGGACTACCAGGGAAGTCCAAAATATCATTTTCTATTAGAAGATAATTAAATGATTATTTTAAGATGAAATAAAGGAGAGAAGAAATAATTAAATTGATTTGGTGAGGACAGCACATAAGGATTTTCACTATTTTAAAGAATCCTATATTATGTGACATAAATTTCCCTTTAAAAAAAAAAGGGGATGGGACTTCTCTGGTGGCGCAGTGGTTAAGAATCCGTCTGCCAATGCAGGGGACACAGGTTTGATCCCTAGTCCAGGAAAACCCCACATGCCGCGGAGCAACTAAGCCCCTGCGTCACAACTACTGAGCCTGCGCTCTAGAGACTGCAAGCCACAACTACTGAAGTCTGCGCGCCTAGAGCCCGTGCTCCGCAACAAGAGAAGCCACCGCAATGAGAAGCCTGCGCCCCGCAAGGAAGAGTAACCCCTGCTCGCCGCAGCTAGAGAAAGCCGCGCGCGCAGCAATGAAGACCCAAGGCAGCCAAAAATAAATAAATAAATAAATTAGGGGGGAAAAAAGCCCAAAAAGAAATGAAATTTCAGAAAGTTCAAGTGGTTAAAATATCAGCCTGGCCATGACACAAAAGAATGAAAGTCACTATTGCTAGAAGCTTGATGCTTTAAGGGAGAAACAGAATGAAAAGAAATCCTCACCATTCTCTCAATGACAGTTCACTGGGCACTGGCTCCACTTCATAATGAAAGAGCTTTCCTTACCAGTACAACTGCAAACTCACACAGGGCTTGAAAAATTAAATCCATTTACAGTCTCTCCATTTATACACTTTCTTTTCTTTCATTTGTCAACGATTCATACAGACTACACATTTGAAACAGAGCTGACAACTTGCATATGATACATCAGAGGGGTAAATCCAACACATTTTTCTCTCCCAATATTTGTTCAAATGGGTGCTACTAATAAAAAAATATTATTTAAACATGGGAATGTAAGTGAAGAAATATTTCTGTCTGTGCACTTGGGTATATAATTATGCTATTTATTGAACTATCTTGCTTACATCTTTAAGTAATTTTTGTTTACTTTAGAAAACATCAAATGTTATTTGTTTTCACTTAGTTGTCTGGTCCGTATCCATTGCCATTAATTAGCATATATATATATATTTTTTTGTGGCACGCGGGCCTCTCACTGTTGTGGCCTCTCCCGTTGCGGAGCACAGGCTCCGGACGCGCAGGCTCAGCGGCCATGGCTCACGGGCCCAGCCGCTCCGTGGCATGTGGGATCTTCCTGGACTGGGGCATGAACCCGCATCCCCTGCATCAGCAGGCAGACTCTCAACCACTGCGCCACCAGGGAAGCCCTAACTAGCATATGTTAAAGGGCGCAATCTCTTTCTCATTGCTACAGACAGAAGTAGACTTATTGATCAGGGGACTTCACATCCAACTGGCCAAATGCCATGCATCTCACTGGCCTGCTCCCCCATATTCTGCCCAATCCTTTCGGCTTACAACAATATGAGCACCAACTTCCCCCCAAAATCCTCTCTGCCCCCATTACCAGAAGACTCCTTCTAAGGAAAGAAGCCCTTCCTTCAACCTCTCAAGGACATAATCATCTCTGCCCTTTCCCAATGGTTTCCTGCAGCCTACTCTACTGTCTAAATTTTAACTCAAATTTCCTCTTCAGATACTATTTAAATTTGATCAAAGGAAATGACTTCTCCTTTACAGAACTCTCTGGGCAACTTTATCAATGAGTCTTGACAGAACTGTTCTAGGTGCTTTCATGCTATCACTTTTCATCGTTTCCAGAACTCTCTGACCTATATTCTATCACCCCCACTTTAAGAAGAAATTGAGGCTCAGAGTTAGAGGGTAGAAAAGCTGGAATTTAAGCAAAGTCTCTACTCCCTTACTCTGAATTTCTTAAGCATGTTTTTATTGTCTGTGTCAAACTATTTCACTGTTAGTACTATTTTGTAGCTATTTTATATACACATGTCAAGAGGCTTCTGTATCTTCATTAGACTAAGCATACTATTGGCACTAACTGAACAGCTTAATTATGAGATTAATAAACAAGCAACTGCTTTCAACTCCACACTCTGCAAATGCATTCATTTTACAGTGAATCTTAACATTTGGTGATCCATTCCGTGGTTCAAACTATTTTCCCATCTCTCTTCTGCAGTTAGCCTACACTCTCTCACTGCCCATGAGCACCACTGCTAGATAGGGGGGAACGGCCAACATCTCAAGATCTTTAATACTTATCAAGTACGGTGAAAAGTTTGACATGGAAGGAGGATCAAGTGATTATCTAAAATAAGGGTTTGATGTTACATATGGACTATGCCCAACGTCAGAAATAAGCAGGAGTTTGCTATATTAAAGAACATTCACATCATTTAAATAATTCAAGTGGGACTTTGCTGGCGGTCCAGTGGTTAAGACTCCGAGCTCCCACTGCAGGGGGCGTGGGTTCGATCCCTGGTCGGGGAACTAAGATCCCACATGCCGCGTGGCACAGCCAAAAAAAAAAAAAAAAAATTCAAGGAGTTACCTGCCAGAATTGCCCAGTACCACTGAGGCCAAGGTGTTCAATAAGCATTGAGAGTTGTGCTGAACCAGGTCTTTCAAAGTCTGTATGCTTTTTTCTGTCCACACTGCTGCTGTGCCCTTTCTACCTAAACTATCCCCATCTCTCTTCATTTCCTTGAAAACTTTTCCTTCTCTCCACTTTCCTGAACCAATACCCCACACGGGGGGGTCTTGTTTGCTTCAAAGAGACACAGCCAAGCAACCACTGAATGTTTTTAAAGACTTTTCTTTCCTCTCTTTCACTGCTGGAATAACACATAGTCTTTTCAGAGGCCTGGCCCTTTCCTGATCTTCTGCATAGAAATATCTTGTAGGTCCATTTCAGGTAGGGGGTTTGATATACTCCCCAGTTCCCTGGATGCCACAAAATCTCTACCACAAACTGCTGAATCCACCTTTTAGCCTCTTCCGTAAGGTACAGGGATTGAGACTACAGAAGCGTTTTCCAAACTGGGCTCTGCAGAGCACCAGTCCTTCCCCTAACGAGGTTTTCAAGTAAGGTCAGGAAATTACTAAATGTTCCTCCTTTGGAGAATCACAATGCATAAAAGCGTATTAAGGGCTTTGGAGTCTTTAAGGAAATTCTTTGAATCAAGCACTCCCCAAACTTACCCAACCGCAAAATCCTTTTTTCCTATTGAACTTACTCACATCGTGATTAATTAGTATTACAGAGCAAACTTCTGAAAATGCTGCATTACAGGCACATTAAGACCCAGTAGAGTGTAAACGTTTTTATAATTATGAATAAAATCCAACACTTAGTACCTACAAAACACGAAGGTGGATTTCTATAAACTACCCCTGATAAGAAGTCTTAACATGGCTCAAGGCCACAACGTCCACCTATTAGTAGCTACCTCACTTGGTAACCTAAGAGATTCATATCTGGATTCTTTCCTATAGAGACGACTCAATTAGTGAAATACTATATCCAGACCTAACTCTCTCTGTTAGCATTAGAAAAAATGCTACCAAACACAACCTTAATTTCGGAATAACTACAGAGGGAGTTCTAAAGGAACGGAATAGAAATTAATTACCAGTAAGCACACATTCCAGGGCCAAGAGGCTGAAGAGTGAATACCTACGTCAACTTTCTTTCCCCCTGGTTAATTTCCACATCTGGGCAATATTCCTACAGATGAAAAGGCTTATACGTGGAGCATCTGTTAACTTTGACAGGAAAGGTGTTAAGAGACCACACACCATCATGGAGGGCGGGCAGTGGAGAAGAGGGGGATTCCGCAGTACTTTCCCACTTGGCTCCAAGAGATTCTCACTAATTCCACTGTCCCCTCTCACCTTCTTGCTATTCTGCTGACAACAGTCATTTTTCTCTCATGCTCAGGAATCTTCTGTCCTCAACTGTCATAATCCTAAACAAATTTACCCTCCTTCCTCTTTTGTCAATGACTCACAATGTGAGGTGCATTCTTAGATGCAGTCAGAAGATGGTGATAGCCAATAAATCACATCCTCTGCCCTGGAACTTTCTTCCGATACTATAAATTTTTAGCTTTCTAACTGAGAAATGCTCCCCAAATCTGGTATAACTAAAATAGTAACTCCCAACTTACAAGGTAGCTCATAAGATTTCATGTTAAAGCAGAAGATGTTAAGGTAACTTTAAAATAAGATTTACAAAAGGCAAAGCTTACCAGCTGATGAAGGGTGAAGGGTGAAGAGGCATAGGGAAGTGATATTAAAAACATTCTAAACTAGTTGCATAATGTCAAGGCTGAGGTAAGCTATACCTTTGACCCACCTTGTTCTTTTATTATATCTGAGATTGTGCTGGTTTCAACAACTTACGTGAGGTATATTTCCACTCTTCTAACTCTCAACATACTACTTTTAAAATGCAGACTAAATGTTCAGGTTAGCTTAGCAAGTAAAAGTCGCAGTACAAAGGATATCCATGAACAGATTTATAAGAAACAACACAATAAACCAATCCAGCAACTAACTGCCCTTGTTAGGTTAAGAAGAAAAATATCCTGCCTCCCTACACTTCTGGTAGGAACTGTTATAAAAAACTGATTTAGGGCTTCCCTGGTGGCGCAGTGCTTGAGAGTCCGCCTGCCGATGCAGGAGACGCGGGTTCGTGCCCCGTTTCGGGAAGATCCCACATGCCGCGGAGCGGCTGGGCCCGTGAGCCATGGCCACTGAGCCTGCGCGTCCGGAGCCTGTGCTCCGCAAATGGGAGAGGCCACAACAGTGAGAGGCCCGCATAACGCAAGAAAAAAAAAAAAAAAAAAACTGATTTAAAAAACCGCAACAGGGACTTCCCTGTTGGCGCAGTGGTTAAGAATCTGCCTGCCAATGCAGGGGACACAGGTTCGAGCCCTGGTCCGGGAAGATCCCACATGCGGAGGAGCAACTAAGCCCGTGCGCCACCACTACTGAGCCTGTGCTCTAGAGCCCGTGAGCCACAACTACTAAACCCGCATGCCACAACTACTGAAGCCCACGCGCCTAGAGCCCGTGCTCTGCAACAAGAGAAGCCACCACAATGAGAAGCCCACGCACCGCAATGAAGAGTAGCCCCCGCTCACCGCAACTGGAGAAAGCCTATGCAGCAACAAAAACCCAACACAGCCAAAAATAAAAATAATTTATTTAAAACACACACACACACACACACACACAACAAATATGTGGCAGCAATCTGATTTAAATGCTTCTAAATCTTAGATAATCTCTAAGATGCATGTAGCCCAAAAAAGAGTAATAGAGGAAGGTGAAGAAAATACAACACTCTGGATTTTCCACAAAGTAACATGCTAAAGTAGCACCTACTAAAAGAACCATATACAGGTAAAATCTGACAATTCTTTTAAGATTTGAAGTTTGTTGCAGTAAAATTGCACTATTAAGTATCATGATAAAGAAAATGCAAAGTATAATGTGAATCCTAAGCTTTATTTTTGCTAAACTCTAGGACTAGACTGCTCATCAAAAAGCACAGAAAATATATATTTTACCACTGACCGCTAATATTATCTGCAACTAATCTGAACCTGTTAGGCCATTTGTCATTTAGCTTCAGGGGGCCCATCCTTTCTCACTATGAGAATTAACACTATAAAAAAGTTGCGAAGACCACCCCAACGATAGTGGTGGACCCTTTATCATCTCTTATTTGAAAAAACACATACCTGAGAATAGATTTGAAGATTCCTTGAATTAAGCTGGTGCCCACCCTCTGGAATCTGAAGCCCACGATGGACTTCCACGTTTAGTTTAAAACCATCACATAAATCCAGAACCAGAAGTACACAGTACACAGTATTACCACTGTTTATTCAATACACGACAAAGAGTCTCACTTCAAGAGGGATAACCCATTTGACCAGTGAACTGGCTTGAGAAGCAGAATACTGGTAATGAAATTATTCTTAAATCAACTACTGCCATAACTTGCTTTAATAAGCACAGTTCCTGGCACATGGTAGCCACTCACATCTGTGGACGAATGAATCCTCGACCAACCTTAGGTAGGTTACTCAACTACTCTATAGACTTTAAACTTTCTATGTATAAAAATCGGCTTTCTCTGGCTTAATTTTCTCAAATTAAGCCTTTGGATTGATCAAGGCCCTCTGAAACTCTGACACTGAGGGAAAAAAAAAGATGCTTCCATTTCATGCAAAAGTCACATAGACAACAGGGAAGTTACATATCATGATCCCCATGTTGAGGCTCACTTGACTTTCATCTTAGATTCAATATCACTTCATCAGGAAAGAGTCCCCTAACCACCAACCTACTCCCCCCTCCACCAGCAGATATGCCCCCTGACTTATTAACTCCTTGAAAACTTTATTTTCTCTTTGTAATACACAGCACAACAATCATTAAATAACATCTGTATTGTTCTTTGTTAAATGTTTGTCTCCCTCTCTAGGCTTCAGACATTCTGAAGGTGAGATCATATGGGCTTTGCTGATCGACCTCCTCTTTCTTGCACCTAGAAGTACCTGGCACACGGATGTTTAGAAAATATTTGCTCAGTGAATGTTTGAGAACAAAAAGCCAGCCAATGGTGCCCCTTCAAGATACTCAAATAATAAAAGCTTAGAAATCAAGGAAGGGAACGTTAGGTCATCAAAAGCTAATGTTCAGAACATCACTCTGTTCTCAACATGAAACTGAGAGAAGTTTTTCCTCAGCAGTAACAGTAATAAAAGAAGTAAGTGTATCATAGCATATCTATGTGCCATTTTATACCTTTCAAAACACTTTCATCACGTGTGGTCTCATGACTGAAAGTCTCCAAAGCGTTCATACAGAAATTCTGTTTACGGTTCTACATGTTTTAAAGAGGTGTGACAGGTATATAACCCATTTATCCTGAAAGTTTTTATAAATAACTTATAGACTGTCTGGGAATTTTTTTCCCCCCTTTAGGTGCTCACTGCATGATATTCCCTCTACAAAACAGCTGGGACAAAGTCCCATTTGTTTTGTTTTTTTTTAAGTTTCAGAGCACTGAAATAAATACTGATTCCAAATAAAGTCTTCAGCTCTATTCTTCAGCTCTAGCAGCTCTATTTTCTTAAAGGACAAAGAAAGGCAATCTGAGAGCTTCTGTTGGATGCCAAAGGGACTTCCCAGGGATTGTTGGTAAATTGAACCACATCTAAGTTTCCAAAGTAAACTTCTAAAACCTTTTCAGCAGTGTATAACCTTCAGAATTCTGTGAAGGTGAGAGCAGGAGAGAGATCTTTATTTAAATGATAAACTTTAATGCTCTTTGATGATGACAAAATTTTTTTTAACTTTCTATGACTATATGAAAATTCATAGACAGAAAGACCACAGGGTGGATGAGAATCTTGGCAAATGATATAGGAATGGAAGTACTGCAGCTCTTAAAAGTCTATGATGGAGCAGAAGTGAAATGAGACTCAACATGGGTTCCTATTTTCTGTATTCTTTCCTAATAATCTGACTTAAAACAATTTCTTTGTTTTAGAGATCATAAAGACCTCATACTGTAAACTTTACCAGCTTATATCTAATCCTATATGATTCCTGAATTCCAGAGGAGGACAGGTCAAAGCAATAAAAGTTTTATTTCAAAGTCCTGAAATAAAGTGAGCAAAGTACTCGTTAAGAAAGATCCAGTTCCACCTTCCTCAGGAGTATGTTTGGAAATCTGGGTTTGTAATAACATAGTATTTTTATCTCCATCATATTTTATGAATGTCAAAATGTTTGATACACAATATCTAATCTGATTCACATAATAATCTTGTGAAATAGGCAGGCCAAGAATCTTATAGATGAAGAACACGAGATTCCAAGAGGTTAAGTTTCTTGACGCAGGATCATAACTTAGAAAATGGAAGCACCAGGGTTGGAAGAATTTCTGATCCCTAGACCACTGCTATTTCTATAGCACAGAACAGCTATACCATTCTGGACTCTCTGAATCTGCTGTTCATTCTTTATTCCTCATCAAAACAGGCAATAAGATAGCAATGTCCATAAATGTCCATACTATGTAAAGAGTACACAGTATATAAAGAGGGTAAAATATTCCCCTTAAAATAATGGTCATATCCCCACTATGTCCCTATATGGTTTTAGGTCTTAGAAATCTTATTAAACTATGATTTACTATTCTTGGTCTCATATCAAGCTTATATAGAGAGTACAACTTTGCATGAGAAAAAAACGCAATAAACGTGTTCTCTTATTCAAGACCAGGGACCTTCCCGACAAGCATTAGAATCACTAAATCCAAGTTATTCCATAGTCTAGCATAAGGTTAGTGCTGAAAAGCTGGATAAAACTCCAACTATATTCTTTCCTGATTAGTAGGGTGGGTGTAATGGGATGAGGCCTCAGGATGAAAGAAATGCTATTAACTACTGAATGTGCGTGAGGGTGAGGGTTGCTTTTTCTTTTTTTATCAGTGACTCAGTTTTTTGAAGGGGGAAAAGTCCAATTCTTCACGTAAAAATACCTTACGTATCTGTGAATCCTAGGGTTTAATAGAAAAAAAAAAATCCACATTAAGTTCTTCAACTTCCAAAATCTGTTTTCTTGCCTATAATGTACATTGTGCTGTTATATTTGCAAAACATCAAGGTTAAAGATAGAAAAGCCTATCAAATAACCTCCATAGAATGTAAGGGTCAAGGCAGGATTGATCTATACAATAAGCCTAACTCTGATCTTTGGTAACAAACACACTTTATTCTATAAAGTCAGCCTTGTTCTTTTAAGGCAGTGGTTTTCAACCTTGGATACATAACAGAATGGGTTTTTTAAAAATACTGGTGCCCCAATCCTTCTCCAGATCAATGAAATCAGAATCTCTTTAGTGTAGGGTAGGGACTGGCTGTTTCTAAGGGTCAGCTGGAGTTGAAAACCTCTGGTCTAAGTGCTTTGCTATCTAGTTTAAAGAATCTAACATGACATCATTTTCATATTTTCCTATGGAAGGAATATTCACAGTCCCAAGACAGTCACAATGGTTAGAAACACCAGAAATGTACAAGTTGAATGAGTGTATTACTTGGATATAAGCAGACATTATTAAGTTAGTCACAACTGCTACACTTAATAAATATTAACCATTAAAAAAAAACAGAAAAAAAAATTTAAAGAAAGAACAGAAAAACTGCATATAACCATGAACATATATACTCATTTAACTATAGCTTAAGTATTAAACCATATTCAAAAATTTATCTCCCACTGAATAGTAGCCAATCTTGTAAAGCATTTTATTTTTGGAATTTCCCATAGATATCAGTAAGAAAAAGCAAATAAAGAAACCAGAAGTACAAGACATCCTATTACACAGGTATATGAAATCAGTTCAAAGGGGAGTTTCCACTGCTCAGAGGACAAAGCACTTCTCAGAAACATTACTGCAATCATACTGCTCATTTCTTGCTCAACACAGTACTGCTGAAAAGGATGTTGCTATGTTCCCACCTTAACTGCCTTATGTGTTGTTCCTGTGACATGCTGGAGCCAACAAAGACAAGTTTGGCTTCTGGAAAAACCAAAAGGCCACGCTTCTTTATTTGTAACCTTGCTCTAAAACCTCTCCCTATTATCTGATTCTATGAATTTTGCAATAGCTGCATATTAGTTAAAGCTGGAGAATGAGTAACTAAACCTGGTCTAAATTGTATGCTTAAGCAAATATAACAATAAAAACAAGTCCTACACAATTTGTAGCATTTTATAAAAAACTCCTCACATTCAAAGGAGGCTTAGACTAAAAAATTCGAGACCAAAAAATGCAAGGAAATCTAAAACAGATGTAATATCCTAATTAAACCTAGGTGGCTTATCTGGGAAAATATTTAAGATTCCTATTCTATGAACTTCCTGATTAAGAAGAGATTAATAGCTACTACAGTAAGGATAAGAAATTATTAAAGGTTAGAAAAGAATTTTGATTTGTGTTTCTAAGTCAGTGAGCTGTAACCAAATATAACCAGGTGAGTGGTATAAACTTACATGGTTTATTGTAGATTGAACAGCCTTTAAATAATGGTTTAGTTCCCGATCCATCATTGCAAATTCAACCATTGCCTTATCCATACTGTATTCACTACTCACTTCAGCTGAAAAAGAAAGAAAAGCAATGATCATTTTCCATTTAAAATGCCATATTTGGAAAAAGCTGTACCAACATAATTTATCAGTCAATGGTCTGTCTAAATGATTTTGTAAAGGTATTGCACATTTTTAAAAATGCCTTCAATATATGCCTGCTTCATTCAAAATTCGAAGACACCCAGTAGAAAAAGTCTCAAAGGTGGAAATGTAGACTCAGACTCAGGAGTTCCAGGCTGTGCCACCTACCTGGACAATCTTAAATCAACCACTACACTTTTCTCAGCCTCAGTTCCCTCATCCATTGAAGCAGTCCACTTATATATCTGCACATGAACCTTGTAGTATTGTTAAAGATCAAATAAGGAAGATTTCCACTTCTAGTAATGGTAGGTTGGGTTATGTGGACCAATCCTCCTACTGAAGACAACTAAAATGACTGGAGGGCTTCCCTGGTGGCTCAGTGGTTAAGAATCCGCCTGCCAATGCAGGGGACACGGGTTCGGGACCTAGTCGGGGAAGATCCCACATGCCGCAGAGCAACTAAGCCCGTGCACCACAACTACTGAGCCTGCGCTCTAGAGCCTGTGAGCCACAACTACTGAGCCCATGTGCCACAACTACTGAAGCCCGTGCACCTAGAGCCTGTGCTCTGCAACAAGAGAAGCCACAACAATGAGAAGCCGGTGCACGGCAGTGAGGAGTAGCCCCCCCGCTCACCACAACTAGAGAAAGCCCACACGCAGCAACGAAGACCCAACACAGCCAGAAATAAATGAATAAATAAATTTATAAAAATAAATAAATAAGTAAAATGATTGGATAAAATAGGAAAAAGAGTAATCTCCTTAAAAACAAAAGGGTCACAAGATAGTAAGAAACAACCAGGCCAAAATTAGGGAAAACCAAAAAAGAGAAGCTGAACGCAGGACATCAAAGTTGCACACCCTCCCCCAGTAAGCCGGGTCCCCACTCATCAGAATAAAGATGAACCGTAAGTAATCCCACTCTGCTCCTCCAGGCTGCAGGGAGGTTGGCCTTGGCCACTGAGCAGAACAGAGGGAAGAGAGAGAGAGAAAACAAACATGTTTCTGAAAAACTGTATCAACAAGCCACAGCCTGGGTTTGCAGCCTGGGCTCCCCTCACCTGAGTGGTGCTGGGAACCTGAGCTCTGATGTTGGTAGGAGGTAGTCTCACAATGAAAGTACCCACACGTACTCCCCTCTGGAAAAGACACTTGTATCTGAGGCCTCAAATAACCCTACAAATAATTGTTAAGGATAATGAGTAGATTACAGGGGAAAAAAAATAAAAACAAAACAAAAAACCTTACAAGGAAAAACACAAGAAAACAAGCCAAAAAGAGTAAAAATCAGCAGAAACAGATTCCCAAATGTTTCAGATATCAGTCAGAGCATGAAACAACTATACTTACTATATTTAAAAATTAAAAGATCCTCAGGAAACAGGAGACTATAGAAAGCGACTAGTAGATTGGAAAAGCAAGATAATATTCTTCAAAGTGTTTTTAAACTTTTTTTTTAAGCTCTAGACACACAATTTAATAATAGATCAGGAAAAGATAGAGAGCACAGGATAATAAAAACGTTAACATTAAAAAAGCTGAAAGAAATGAAAATAAAACTGGAGTCCTTAAATCATATTGGGGATGCACACACTCAAAGACTCTTCATTCAAATAACTTAGCTCAAATGGCAGTATTTCTTGTCTACTCTGAAGAACAATACAACAGTTCATCTCTAAGTCATGAAATAATATAAACCCCACTTATGTCTGGCTCTTAAAAAATGATTTTCCTGGACTTCTAAATTATGCTTTAGTTTTACAATAGTCAATTATAAGCACACTCCATAAAATATCTTCTGGGTTAACACGCTTCTGGTAGAATATCTCTTGGCTGGTAACACCCAGACTTCACAGAATATACATATACCTCAATACAAGCTTTTTTTTTTTTTTTTTTGAGGAGTGGGAAGGGGCAATATTAATATAAGAAAAATCTGTATTTACATTCCCCAAATTAAACACATTTTTTTTTTTTTTGCGGTACGCGGGCCTCTTACTGTTGTGGCCTCTCCCGTTGCGGAGTACAGGCTCCAGACGCACAGGCTCAACGGCCATGGCTCACGGGCCCAGCTGCTCCGCAGCACGTGGGATCTTCCCGGACCGGGGCACAAACCCGTGTCCCCTGCATCAGCAGGCGGACTCTCAACCACTGCGCCACCAAGGAAGCCCAAATTAAATATATTTTTAACAAAGCGGTATATGAGAAAGGTCTCAAGTCATATTCCATATAAAATTGTTAGACCGTTTGAAAATGTCCAAACATCAATGAAAGAGACATGTTGCTTAGCTGTTGCTGGTACCAACGTGTATCTATTGCCATATATACAACAACCATTTGTTAAAAATCCTATTAATTGCTTGATGATCAGGAAGAGAATTTTAAACAATTTATATCCTAATAATGATGGGTTGTGACTTATACAGGCATTTTACTGTATATAGTTACATTTAAGTAAATTGGTTAGGGGTTTGGGGTTGGCCTGTAATTTAATTTTTTCCCATTTAAAATAATGAAAAAAAGAAAATTTAAAAAAAACAAGAAAGAAAGAAAAATAGGCCCCTGGTTTCACACAAACCTTATCTAGTTAAAGGAAAGGATGATGTGTGTGTGTGTGTTTTTTTTCTTTTCTTAGTGGAATCAGTATATTTTATGTGTAATAGATTCTGATACTGGGACCATTGAAAAAGTGGGTCAAGCTGGTAACCTGAGCAAAGACTAACAGCATAAACTACTTTATCAAAAGTGCAATAATTAGTGGCAACTTCAACCTAAATAGAAACTCACTAAAGGATGTATCAGCGGCAAAAGTCTTTGAAGTATGAGAAATAAAAATGTGTCGGGGCTTAAATCAGTAGGAATTGACATAATGTTGGCAACCTCCCTCTGGAATTAAATGAGTTAATTTTTTAAAGCACTTAGAAATATGCCTTCGACATTAAAGTTTTCTGAGTAAGCAGGATGATGATTCTCATTATCAAGGTCCATAGACAATAGCAAGACTTGAACCAGATAACAATTTTAAATACAAGGCCAAGGAGACCTTCCCTGCAAAGGAGAACGTGAGCAATGGCTGCCAGTATTTGATGGCATGAAGCCTAAGGGAAGTACCTGAGGAGGCCAACTGTGGACATGCAGCCTCAGCTAAGGCTCCAGGGCCCAAGAATGTTGGGACAAGCTAAAGAACCTAAGTGATGAATAGTGCAGCCTGAGGCGACAAAGGGAAAACACCAGAAGAGAGCAGGAAGCTACTCCTGAGAAGAACCGAGAACCACACCACACCACACCTGGAAGTGATGCTCAGTCAGATAACTTCAGGCTCAAGTCAATGTTTTCATCTGCTGGGGAAAAGGGCTTGGAGAGACTAGAGACGGAAGACAAGAGACTCCCACAATGGCATCTGGAAGAGAGGTCATAAGAACATCCATATCAAGCAGTTATTAATCCCTGTCTCCCTTATTATTACAATAAAGCCTCTTTCTAAGTATGTTATTTGTGTTCATGTTTCAGAAATACCAGGCAGGGCTTCCCTGGTGGCGCAGTGGTTGAGAGTCCGCCTGCCGATGCAGGGAACACAGGTTCGTGCCCCGGTCCAGGAGGATCCCGCATGCCGCGTAGCGGCTGGGCCCGTGAGCCATGGCCGCTGAGCCTGCGCCATGGCCACTGAGCCTGCGCGTCCGGAGCCTGTGCTCTGCAACAGGAGAGGCCACAACAGTGAGAGGCCCGCGTACCGCAAAAAAAAAAAAAAAAAAAAAGAAATACCAGGCAAAGGAAGGCACAGGGAATGTGTCCTGTTCCACTAAAGAACTAAAGTGGGGAAAGAGCATAGTGTTGCATGAAAAAGGCTAAATAAAGCCCTGAAGAACTCAGGAGGAAAAGAGGGATAAACACATAAACAGGGAGCTGGCTGTTGACTAAAAAGTGGCTGGGGCATTGGGGAGGTGCAGAGAGACTGACCAGCTAGAGGTTCCCTGCTCCTTTATTCCACAGTATATAATCCCACTACCCAAATTCTCCCACTCTCACAGGGAAAGCCCTTCCTAAAAATCCACACCAACCAAATCCTACACATCCTTCAAGGGCTGAGCTCAGGCCCTACCTGCTTTTAAACTCTGCCAGCCTAGAAGGATCTCACTTAATTTATCTTAACAACTATACTTGATACTTTGGCACTTTGAACCATAAGCAATCTTGTTTTCTTATATGAATGTGTCTCATTTTTCCAAACAGACTTTAATCCATTTGAGGGCAAGAATGATGGATCCAACAAAGAACTATAGGAACTCTTCCTTCAATATTCTTACATGTCCATCATATAATAAATTTGAAAATTAAACTTTCACCAAACTAAAAATTGTCCTGCCTCTGATATTCAATTGAATTAAAATGCAAAGAAGACATGTAATATAAACTTATTTGCCTATTCTATTTTCAGTGTGATTTTTCCACAGGAAAAAGGTTGGCACCAGAGCTGAGTGTGGGGGGGGGATTACAAAAATGATGTTAAAATTCACAGAATGACAATCTCAGAGAGGCAAATATTACTGCAGCACACCTCTGCAAGCCAAAAAGTAACTGCAATGATAAAATATATATACATAATAATAATAGCTGTACCTAACAATTGGTAAGCACTTTATTATGAGCCAAGACTACTTAGCATACTGTGTTTACATTAAACCTCACAGCAGCATTAAGAGAAAGGTAGTTTTAGCTCCACTTTATATATGAGAAAACCGAAGCACCAAGCAGCTGAAATAAACTGCTCAAGGACACAACGGTAGTGAGTGGCTGAGCTAGGCCTCCAACTCAGACCTAGCTGCAAAGTATGTACACTAGCCTCCTGTGCTAAAAGGTGCTTAAAATGTGAGAAGGACAAGCACCTCCAACTCCTCCATGGATATCCAGGGAACAAACCCTTG